TTACTCAGAGAGTAGTAAGGGCGTGGAATGCCCTGCCTGCAAAAATAGTAGACTTGCCAACTTTAAGGGCATTTAAATGGTCATTGGATAAACATATGGATGATAATGGAATAGTTTAAGTTAGATGGGCTTCAGATTGGTTTCACAGGTCGGCGCAACATCGAAGGCCGATGGGCCTGTACTGCGCTGTAATGTTCTATGTTCTATGTTCTATGTCCTTAAAGTGTCATTATTACGCTACCTTTGCATTTTAACAATTTTTCATTTAAAAAAAAGTCATATTGGCCTCTGATTCCATTGCTGTGGGGCATATCTGACTTCTACTTTCTAAGAATGATGCAGGGCAAAAGGAGGTCATTTGACCATTGAATCTGTGCTGCCTCTTTAAAAGAACTAACCAGTTAGTTGCATGCCTAATATTTGTACACCATTTATATTTTTCCCCTTTAAGTATTAAATTCCCTTCTGTGTAAGTTATTGTTGAATCCTGTTCAAGCTTCCTTTCAGTCACTGAATTCCAAAGCATAACAACTCTTGTAAATGAAAATCTCCTCATCTTGCCTGTAGTCATTTCATCAATTACTTTAATTCTTTGTCTTCGCAGTACTGATAATTCTCCTTAAATCTGTGTTTTCTGGTTATTGACTTGGCTGCCTCTGGAAACAGTTTCTACTTTACATAAAAACTATATGAAATGAAAATAGAAAATGCTAGAATTACAACAGTTCAGTCAGCATTTGTAAAAAGATGGCAGATCCCAAGATTTGGATTTGCAATTATTATTTGGCTTCCTTCAATTTGTTATTTAAAAAAAGTAATATCCCATTAACTAGTTCCTAATGTTCTCTGCAAATATCACCCAGACAGTGACAAAATAATTGCCACTGAAGCTTATAAGTTTGATCACTTGGTGAAATCCAGGAATGCTAAACTTGCAGAAAATCATTAAAACCTCAGGGATCTAACAGAATGTGTGCATTGAGACTACCTGTTAGCATTATTTTTGCTAGCTAAGTAACTTTGTGTTTTTTTTCTCATTTCTTGAATGGAAACTTCACTAGTTTCAAGTGTACTTGTAGCACAGTGAAATGTTGAGCGCTTCAGCTGGCAATATATTTTTAAATTACATGCTGTGTTAATAATCTTGACTTGTTCTTTGCTTTTGTATTTCAATTTCACAGATCATTGACTTATTAACAAATATAATAACTCAGGTTAATGATTGCATTTTTTTGGCTCAATCATTTTTGAAACCATTCAAATACTTTCATGTGACAGTTTAATGACAAAGGTAAGGTGGTAATAGGTTAGCAATCAAAGCACTAAATTAGTCACAAAGTTTCACAATTTTATGTTGTTGGATAGTGTAGGACTTTTCCAAATCGATTTACCTTTGCATTTGAAAAATAACTTTTCAAAATATTTAACATCATAGATGACTGCATTGTTTATAATAACTCTCAATATCACAAAACAATTGACATTGATTGAAGTAGAACATGTGCAGGTGTGGAGGAACGGAAGGATTTTGGGGTCCATGTCTATAGATCCTTCAAAGTTGCTACCTAAGTTGATAGGGTTGTAAAGAAGGCGTATGTGTGTTGGTTTTCATTGGCAGGGGAATTGAGTTTAGGAGCTGCAAGGTTACACTGCAGCTCTATAAAACCCTGGTTAGATCACGTTTGGAATATTGTGTTCAGTTCTGGTCACCTCATTATAGGAAGGATGTGGAAGCTTTAGAGAGGGTGCAAAGGAGATTTACCAGGATGCTGCCTGGACTGGAAAGCAGGTCTTATGAGGAAAGGTCAAGGGAGATAGGGCTTTTTTCATTGGAGCGAAGAAGGATGAGAGGTGACTTGATGGAGGTGTACAAGATGATGAGAGGCATAGATAGAGCGGATAGCCAGAGACTTTTTCCCAGGGCGGAAATGACTATTACAAGGGGGCATAATTTTAAGGTGGTTGGAGGAAGGTATAGGGGAGATGTCAGAAGTAAGTTCTTTACACAGAGAGTGGTGACCGTGTGGAATGCGCTGCTGGCAGTGGTAGTAGAGTCAGATACTTTAGAGACTGTTAAGCGACTCTTGGATAGGCACATGGAGGATAGTAAAATGTAGGGTATGCAGTGTAGTTTGATCTTAGTAGGATAATAGGTCGGCGCAAGATCGTGGGCCGAAGCACCTGTACTGTGCCGTACTGTTCTATGCTGTATGTTCTGTGTAAGATTTGAAATAAAATTGGGAACCAAGGGTAACATCAAAGGTATGGAGAGGAATTATGAGAAAAGACTGGCAGCCAACATGAAGTGATGTCCCAAAGTCTTCAGTGCTCATATCAAATAGTAAAAGGGTTGTAAAAGGAGGAGTCAGAAACTGAAATTGCTGGAGAAATTCAGCAAGTCTGGCAGCATCTGTGGAGAGAAAGCGGGGTTAAAATTTCAGGTCCAGTGATCCTTCATCTGAGGCAATGTCTATTTTTGTTTTGGATTTCCAGCAACTACGGTTCATTTTGCCTTCATTTTTTTTTGGTAAAAAAGAGGTATAGGGTTGATGAGGGGCCAAGAAGGGATTTACATTTGGAGGCAAGGCTCGTGGCTGAGGTGTTAAATGAATAGTTTGCATCCAGTCTCTACCAAAGAGAGAAATACTACCATAGTGACAGAGGAGGGAACTAAATAATTAGATGGGTTCAAAATTGATGGAGCAGAAGAGTTGGATTAGACTGTTGTTAAGTCATAGAGACAGACGGCCAAATCGAATAGCCGCCCTGTCCCTGTATTTGCAACATCCTAAAATTAAAATACTGTCACCCTCAAAATTGACCGCAATGATTTCTAGCCAGATTTTTTGAATAACTAGTACAAGACTTTCTGAATAATTGATATGAGACAGTGGGTTTATGATTCAAACTAAAGGCTTAACAATTTATTCACAATACAGTAACTTCAGCAGATCAAGGTTAAATAATAAGGTAATCTAATTAATGTCTAATATCTAAATCCAATCCTCTTTAATTCTAGCCTCCATTCTCACAGAAAGACAGACACACAAACAGATAAAATTAAGGGATAAATCAAAAAGGAAAAATAAATGAGATTTAACTGGCCGGTTCACTTAGGCAGACTCTGTGATCTATAACATCACCAGTACAAGGGATTATATCTTGCTTAGTTTCTGACAACACCAATGCATGAAAATATTTTCCAGTAGGCTCAGAGGAATATTCATTTAATTCTTAAAACAGAGATTCTATCTTCCTAACTTTCAGTAAGCTTCCTAACTTTCAATAACGAAAGGACAACCTGTAGACCAGAAAAAAGCTTTTCTCGTTAATGGAGGGTTCAGTGACCAGGGAACATAGATTTAACGTAGGGGGACAGAAAGTTTAAAGGAGATGTGAGGAAAAGCGTTTTCACCCAGAGGATGGTGGGAATCTACCACTCACTGCCTGTAAAGGGTGGTAGGAGCAGAAACCCTTATAACATCTAAGATGTATTTAGATGTGTACTTGTAGTGCCAAGGATTACAAGGCTGTGGACCAAGTGCTGAAAATGAGATCAGAATAGTTAGGTTGAGAGATAGTAGGAACTGCCGATGCTGGAGAATCTGAGATAACACGGTGTAGAGCTGGATGAACACAGCAGGCCGAGCAGCATCAGAGGAGCAGGAAAGCTGACGTTTTGGGTC